GTAAGCAAATCAACTACTGTATTATCTTTGTGTTTTATTTAATTTTATATATGCCTACTGTTAATGATTTGGTGTTTTAATTTTTTAATTAGGAATGTAATATGGTATGAGCTATGGCAAAAATTGTCAATGAATATTCACTATGCTGTAAAATATTTTATTATGCATCTTATAACGAAAAAAAATGACAGTAATTTTAAAAAGAAAAGTGATAAAAGAATTAGTTTTCTTTTTTATATAAAGTATTTACTTTACTTTATATATCCAGATATATATCATAACCAAATGGTTCCTAGGAGTGCTGAAACAAACATAGGCTTACTGAACTGAAACACAATCCAGAAAAGAAAGTGTACAAGGTCAGAGACTGGCTACTCTTCATTAGTAGGAGTAGGTCATTTGTCTGTTACGGTTGAGTAATCCCCAACTTTGGGGAGCCTGAAACCGTTTTCTTGCTAACTTGCTTCGTATTATATGAATCAATTAAAATAATTTTCAGGGGTTATTGACGTACTATGTAAACCCTGGTACTTATAGATGGTTCACAAGTCAAATTTGGCTGGCAAGGCAATTTAATTTGACCCTGGAGGAAAAACGAAATAACAATAATAAAAAAAATACTTATATCATATTAAAAGTTTTTTTTAAATAAAAAAAAAAAAAATCAACCTCTGGATAATATGCACATGGATAGTTTGAAAATGAGGAAGATAATGTAGGTCATAAGTAGAATAACTAGCGCCAAAATCGTTGTTTTTCTTCACTTCCAACAAGCAAAACCCCTACCACCCCCCCAAAAAAACAAAAACAAAAACGAGTTATGATGTATGGGTTACACCACTCACATCTAAAATTAAACCCTGTGAACAGAACTAAAAATATATTCCCAGGATTTGTATTCTTATTGATTCGACATAGTAACCTAGGCGATGAGTTAAAATTGTAATGATTGCAGAGTTGTTTTCATTTATTTATTCAATAATAGCATCACGTAAACAATGATGAACAATAGAAAATAATTTTAAAATTCAGTTTTAGTTTTTTAAAGTGGAAATTTATAATAGCATGGTTTGAGACTCAAAGGAGAAGAAGAATCCCATTATTAAATCATAGAGGTAAACATTAGTAAACTGAGGTTATTTTGAACTGAATACCTCTCTATTGGGTTTTATCGTCAATAACATTCCTACTTTTAACCAAAAATGAAAAAAAATAAATAAAAATTCCTCATAAAAATATATTTCGATTCTCTTACAAATAATGCAAGTCATACTGGACTCTTCTATGTCACTGTGTTTCTTCAATAGCATTCTTTTCAAATCATAGAATATACACCGACTTTTGTGCAGCCAAGTTCGGTCTGAGTGTTTTCTTTTGTTCACTGTGACTTGTCAATAGCATTCTTTACTTTACAGGGATAATAACAATTTGGTGTACCAAGAAGCTGAAAACGTTTTGTATTAAAAAAAAAATAGGCTTACGTCTAAACTAGGCTCTTGTATTGTGATCAATATACATTGGTAAAGCGACCCAACAAAGTTGACTAATCACTGTTAAACTAAGGACTCAAGCCGATCACTTGTAGTACAAATAAAAGTATTATTTCAAATTGCAAAAAAAACCCCCAAAAAAACCTTTCAAATAGACCTATCATGGAGGAAAGTGTTTCTCACAATGGAATGACATGTTCGAAGCACGAACTCCTGCAGACCAAACCCAGTACCGTTACGATTTTTAATCGTACGGAAATCCACTCACGATAACGATTGCCTTCAACAAGCAGCAGATTATCTTTGTCCCTTGAGGTCAACATTAAAAATAATTTCGCTCTTCAAACAAATTAATTAAGAACCGGGGCCATATAAATTACAGATAGCAGTTGTTCAGGTTTCTTTGTATAGTCTGGTTATATGTTTAGTAGATTGAGATTAAATGACATTTATTTCCATATCAAAAAAAAAACCACAATGAACATGGTGACATCACCTTGAAAGCAAGATATAATACATACATACACACGCACCCGCCCACACAC